CCGGCGCGTACGCGACGTACGCCAACGGCAGCCTCGCGGTGTTCGATCCGGCGGCGGCGCCTGCTGCTTCCACGCCGCTGGCCACCATCCAGCTCCCCGCCGTCGGCGCAAGGACGGTGCAGTACATGCAGCTGGAGCACGACGGGCACCTCCGGCTGTACGAGTGGAATCCCGCGGGGTGGGCGCCGGTGTTCGACGTCCTGCGCCTCTTTCCAGACGACTGCGCGTTCCCGACGGTGTGCGGCGCGTATGGCGTGTGCACGGACATGCAGTGCAGCTGCCCCGACGTGGCCAACTTCCGGGCGGTGGCCGGTGGGTGGCAGCGCAGCGCGCGGGAGACAGGCACGACGCGCGCAAATGGGCAGCCGCTCCCGCCTGTTTCCACGGGAAAAGTTAAAGATGTACTGCAAAATCGTGAGAGCCATCAGATTGGATTGAGACGGTAGACAGAGGCTCGAAAGGTACGTCGTGACTTGCTAGAGGAAAGGCACCGAATCTGAGTCCTGCGTGGTCGGGGTGGGATGACTAGGGGTGCGGAGACGATAACAAGTGGGGGTTTTTTAGTTGTAGAGATAGAGATAGAGATATCGTCTAGACTCCCCGATGGCCGACGCGGAAGACGTGACCCATGACGCCGAAGCTGCCCAGGACGGCAGGACCGACCCTCGACCCTCGACGCAGACGCCGCCTAGTCCGACGTCTAGGGCGAAGAAGCGGCGAAGGTTGCTCGTAGGAACCCGTGGCCTGAGCCTCTCATGGACGGTACATGTCGGCGCCATCGCTCACGACCCTGGTGGCTCCACCGTCAATATACCTGTCTTTGCATGAAAAAATCATAAATTTCTTAGCAGAAATATACAACGTGTTTTGATGATGTCCAAAAACAACATAGTCTCGAGATTTGAACGCCTATTTTTTAGGCAAAAATATAAAGTGTATAGTACTTATATATTTTTTTTATTTTATGGTGTGCTGCACAATCATGCAATGCACAATACTTGGTGTAAATGGACAAAACATGCACGTGCAAATGGTCTTGCTTGTGGGGGTGGCGTTTTCATGTGTAGCAAGCATTCACCCTAGGCGTTTTTTCACCGAAAACCGAACACCGAACCGAACCGAAATCGAACCAAAAAGTTGGTAATTCGGTTTTTCAGTTCGGTTTCGGTTTTTCGATTCTGTGCTAGATTCGGTGTTTCGACTTGACCGGTTTCTATGCCACACCGAACGAAGTGCACGAGAAATCATTGAAGAGTGAGTGAGGCTTGAAAAGCACCCCGCCCACCACCCGCACCGCCACCAACCACCACCCACGGCCGCACCCGCACCACGGCACCACTTCACTTCCCTAGTTTCTCGCATCAAATCGACGAATCGAGTCGCACCGCATTCGACATTCCGCACGCAGAGCCTCGCTCACCCCTCGCACTCTCGCTCCCGCTCCTAACCTTCGCCCCTTCGGAGGCGCAGCAGGTGGCTGGCGGCGCACCCAGCAGGCCAGGGCGCCAGGCGGCCAGCGGCGGCGGCGCCACCGTCGACCGTCGTCAAGCTCCTCAACCACGACCGTAAGAACAGAGCAGTCCTCCAATGTAAGTCTTTAGTTCTTGTTCTTGCTTAATGCCTAATAGATCCAGATGCCTGTTGGTTGCTTTGTGACAGTGCGAGTTGATTAGTTAGTTAGTTTGTACCCTGACTAAGTACCTAGATGGCTTGTTTTTGTTTTGATGTCTTGTAGATGGGGGACACTGAATGTTCAAGTGAATGAGAATGAAGTTGTAAATGGAGAGAATGACAAGCAGGATGAGCAGCAGCAGTCCAAGGATGGAGAGGAAGTGGGAGATGAGGAAAGCAAGAAAAGGAAGCCCATGGTTCCAAGATCAGATGTTTGGGAACACTTCAGCAAGATCGAACTTGATAATGGGGAGGAGAGAGCCAAGTGCAAGCACTGCGGCAAGCAACTCCGCTGTGACACAAAGTTAAATGGTACGTCCTCCATGAAGGCTCATTTGAAAATCTGCAAGAAGAATCCTCACAAACATGTAGTAGATAATCAAGGTACTTTACAACTACAACCTAGCCCTAGCAATAGTAGTGTTGGTACTCTATCTACTTGGAAATTTGATCCTAAGGAGTTAAGGAGGAGTTTCGCTGAGATGATAATAGAAGATGAGCAACCTTTTGTGTTATCTAAACGTTCTAGCCTTAGAAAGTTTATGTCAAAAGCATGCCTACATTTTGTTTTGCCATCTAGAAGAACAATCACTAGAGCCTGTGTGAAAGTGTTTGATGATGAGAGAGAAAAACTTAGGAAATTTTTGAAAGACAACTGTGAAAGAGTTAGCCTGACAACAGACACATGAACGGCTAAGAACAGTCATAATTACATGTGTGTTTTGGTTTTTTCTTGGTTAAGGGCCATAGGGGGGAGGACATTGGAAAATCTTTAGAGAATTGCTTGGTGACTAGGGAATTGAGAATGTTTTTACAATAACAGTAGACAATGCTAGTGCAAACAACACTGTAATTAAGTACATGTAGAGGATCCTGAATGAATCAAAAGGCTGCGTTCTTTCAAGGAGAGTACCTTCATATGAGGTGTTTTGCACATATTATCAACACGATAGTAGGTGATGGGTGAAAGAATTTGATAGATCAATCGCTCGTGTTCGGGTCTTTGTTAAGTATGTTAGGAGTGGACCATCTAGGTTGGTAAAGTTCAAGAAATGTGCCAAGTTAGCTAAGGTTCAGACCAAAGCATTTTTCAACCTAGACGTCCTGCACTAGGTGGAACTCAACTTACGATGCTACAAACCGCACAAGAGTATGAAAAGGCCTTTGAAAGGTATAGTGATGAAGACCCATACTATAGTCTAGAGTTAGAGAGTGAGAAAGCACACCGGAAGTTTCAATCAAATCAGATTGGGAAAAGGCAAGGAAAATGGCTCAATTTCTTAAATATTTCTATGAGTGACCCTCGTGTCTCTCTTATTAAATCGCCCAACATCTCACACATACTTTCATGAGATTGTTGATGTTTTGGTTCTGCTGAGACAATGGTGTCACAGTGAAGATACATTATGTAAGGAAATTGGCCAGAAAATGTTAGTAAAATATTACAAATATTGGGGAGAGAAGTATGGAGAAAGGCCAGGGGATAGAGAGAAGAGAGGAGAGAAAGACAAGGGGGATCAATTGCTTAACATTGTTATTTTTTTGTGTTGGTATTGATCTTCGGTTCAAACTTTCTGACTATGTCAAGATGGCAACTATGGTAATGTTTGGTGATGAAATAGGTCAGAAACTGTGGGCAACAGTCAACACTTATTTTCGTGCTTTGTTTGAGGAGTACAGAGAACTGTATGCTCCATCTCCAAGTGACAAGGTGCCTGCTGAAACTCAAGAAACACCAGAATTTTGTTATGGATTGATGAGCTCCATAATTGCATAGCAAATGAGCAATAAGGGGAGTGCCAATACCACTGTAAAGTCTGAACTAGACAAGTACCTTTTAGAAGATAATGAGGAGCTTAGTAAAAGTTTTGACATTATGAAATGGTGGAAGAATAATGCTACTAGATTTCCCATAATGTCTCGTATGGCCCGTGATCTTCTGGCAATTCCTATCTCAACAGTAGCCTCTGAGTCAGCCTTCAGTTCAGGTGGAAGAACACTTGATGATTTTAGGACATCACTCACACCAACAATGGTTGAGCGGCTCGTTTGTACAAATGATTGGCTTCATGGAAACAACTACATCAGTGTTGAAGAGGACACAAAAGCATTGGCCAAGCTTGAGGAAGGTATTTTTTAATGCTAAGTCTAAGTTGTTATCATTTCTATTGTTTATCTTGATAGCTTATTGTAGTAACATGACTACACTGAGTACTAACTAAAACATAATCACTTATTGTAGAAATTGATGTCCTGGCTGTTTATAAGGATAGCACTACTGCTACTACATCTTGATAATGGTAAGTTGGTTTTCCACTAGGTGCAAGCCTTGCACTGCTATAATTTGTTCAAACTTTGCAATGGAAATATTAAATGAGAATGAAATATATATATATATATATATATATATATATATATATATGGCCAGCCTAACTTTTAGCATGGCAATGTAGGCTGCAAACCAAACATTTATAAATTGAACTTCTCCTTTCCTTTCAGTTGAGTTTTGTAAGCATGCAGTGTCCTGACCTCATTCACATTGGACCAGTTTAGAATAAACTTGAGCCTTAATGCATTAGTTTCATATTTTAGTGGCTACTTGGTGTTACAACTTTCTTCTTCCCTGGTGCTTCGCCAACAATCCGGCGCAAAATGCTCCCATGGCACATTCGCGTTGGGCTTGTTGTCTATATACTGGCGCTGCTTGCTGCAGAGGCTGGACACATCCTGGTCACCTGGTGGCACCATGGAGCATTGTTCTTGTTCTCTTGCTGTTGTTGATGCCTGCTGGCTGGAAGTCTTGAATATTTGATTTGATTTGTAATATTTGAACTGAGCATTGAATTGTTAAGTTTGTAGCAGTATTGAGTCTTCAAATAATGTCTGTTGTTCTAAATCGTGTCAAGAATGAACTGCTGTGAGTTCTAAAATCGCCTTGTTTTCTTGCATCGGTTTATTCGGTTTTAACCGAAAAACCGAACTAAAAAACTGAACCAAAATTGATCGGTTTTTGAAATTTTAGCAAACCAATCGGAGGTTATTTTCTAGAAACCAAAATTTTGGAAAACCGAAAAACCGAACCGAACCGGCAGTTAAAACCAAACGACCAGGCTGAGCAAGCATAATACCAACCAGGGGCAATACGGTCCTTGTGAATGATTCGTTCATGTGGGCGTCGGCGCCTGCGCTTCGAGAGACTCTTCTTCCCTCCCTCGGGTCTCATCAGCCTCACCCGCTCGACGTTCCATTTCCATTTGCTTCGACTCACCTCAGATCAAGGGACGCTACCCCACCTGCCACCCACCTCCCTCCCATCCCCAGCCCCAGCCATGGCCACCGCCTTCGAGTCCCCGACCTCCTCCCCCGCCGCCGCGCCCTTCCACGACGACCCTTTCCTCCACTTCGACGGCTCGGCCCCCGCCCCCGCCGCCGACGGCTTCCCGGCCTCCCCGGACGCCTACGCGCCCTCCCCCTTCGGCATGCCCCACTCCAACGGCGACCTCCACGACGACCCTTTCGCCGCACCCGCTGACTCCTACGGTGGGCCCATCCTCCCGCCGCCCACCGAGATGGGCCGCGAGGAGGGATTCCTGCTCCGCGAGTGGCGCCGGTATGGCAACGCTTCCCTTCCTCTCGCTTCTGCTGCCCAGATCTGCCTGCACCCGCTGTCTGCTTACATTAGATCTACGCCTCGGGTCGGATCCGATCGTGCCGCGCCGACCTACCTACAGTCAGTCTTTGATAGATCTCACCACCTCACAGCTGAATTCGTCGGTACTTACTACTACACGACCACTTCATGGCTGTGGCATGCAATTCCGTGCGCTTTTCTAGATTCCATTGGTGATCTACTCAAAATTCAGTGCATAGGATGTTGCGCTTGTCTGGATTAGAATTCTACATAAGCGATGAAAATCTAATTCGTCTGCAACCTCATTTTGCATTTGGCTAGACTGTGACATGCACATGCTTAAAAAAAGGGGCTAGTGGAATCTAGGATTCAGTTTGTTATAGTAGTTGGTTGTCATTACAGTAAAACACAAATACATCGGGGCTACCTTGCTGCTTTGTTAAACCATATAAACTTTAGCTTCACTGTTTGTGCATGGTTTGGTCCTACTGTTATTAGTTATTTTCCCTTATAGGCCAAGAAGCTTGCTTTGCCCACTGAACAGCTATGTGTCTTGCCAACTCTATTTTCTGCTTCATAATACGCACTAGAGCGTCAGTATTCAACCTTGGAATAGCACAGCAGCATGTTTTAATTTATACCTTCAAGCAATTCCTCGTTTAGTTTATTGTGTGTTTTGATTGATATATATGTTCTAGATTCCATTGGTGATCTACTCAAAATTCAGTGCATAGGATGTTGCGCTTGTCTGGATTAGAATTCTACATAAGCGATGAAAATCTAATTCGTCTGCAACCTCATTTTGCATTTGGCTAGACTGTGACATGCACATGCTTAAAAAAAGGGGCTAGTGGAATCTAGGATTCAGTTTGTTATAGTAGTTGGTTGTCATTACAGTAAAACACAAATACATCGGGGCTACCTTGCTGCTTTGTTAAACCATATAAACTTTAGCTTCACTGTTTGTGCATGGTTTGGTCCTACTGTTATTAGTTATTTTCCCTTATAGGCCAAGAAGCTTGCTTTGCCCACTGAACAGCTATGTGTCTTGCCAACTCTATTTTCTGCTTCATAATACGCACTAGAGCGTCAGTATTCAACCTTGGAATAGCACAGCAGCATGTTTTAATTTATACCTTCAAGCAATTCCTCGTTTAGTTTATTGTGTGTTTTGATTGATATATATGTCGTCACTATTAGTGATCCTGATAGTCTTCCTGGGAGTAAGCCTTGATGTTGTTCTTATTTGCCCCTTGCTGTGTATTATTTTATTTACCTATGTTCACTACTCTCAGCTTGCACTTCCATAAAATGGCAGGGCAGTCTTAAATAATGGTTGCTGGTATTCTCTATCTTTCATTCTTCAAAGTGTATGCTAACACCAATGATCAACAGACAAAATGCTATCCACCTTGAGGAAAAGGAGAAGAAGGAGAAGGAGCTGAGGAGCCAAATCATCGTCGATGCTGAAGAGTTTAAGAAAGCTTTTGTTGAGAAGAGAAAGCTCAATGCTGAGACAAGCAAGGGCCAAAACCGTGACAGGGAGAAGGTAGGATTAGGACCCTGTATAATCCTATTTGTCTCTTTTCTTAAGATGAAAACCTGGCTGCTTTTTATTTTCTTATTCTGCTGCTTTGTCGCCAGCTTTTCCTAGCAAACCAGGAAAAGTTCCATGCTGGTGCGGATAAGCAGTACTGGAAGGCGATATCAGAACTTATCCCACATGAGATTGCTAACATCGAGAAGAGAGGGGCTAGGAAAGATAAGGAGAAGGAGAAGAAGCCTGGGATCGTGGTGATCCAAGGCCCAAAGCCTGGGAAGCCAACAGACATGGCACGGATGCGGCAGATATTGCTGAAGCTGAAGCACACTCCCCCACCACACATGAAGCCACCTCCACCACCTGCTGGAGCCACTGGAAAGGATGGAGCACCAGCCGCTGCTGGAAAGGATGGAGCTAAGCCAGCAGCCCCTGCCAATGGCAATGTCCCTGAGATGGAAAAGGCCGCTGCGGCGGCACCAGCGCCGGCAGCAGCACCACCACCAGCAACTGAGTCGATCGTAGCTGCCTAACCTAATCATTTATGGTAGGAGGATGTGAAAAATCTCTTTTTAGAGTTGTTGCAGAGGCGGTGGTGGTGAAACTGAAAACGTGTGAATTTCCGGCATGGTGGAGACATGCACTGTGTATTTGTTAAGGCACCTCGATTCATTTACATTACTATATATTGTTATTGCATTTTGTAGAGAAGGGGCATGTGTATCCTGGTTCATGGTAATAATAAGGTTGTATTAGGAGGATGTATGTTTTGGTGGCTGTATTATGTTTCTTCTTCCAAGTGTTTGGAAATTTTCCTTTGTTATTAAAACTGATTGTATTGTTATGCTACTATCTGCTGCATATATGGATTATATTTTTGTGCATTTTGATCTATCTGAGCTGGGGATGCTTGCTTAATACTAGTAGTTGTGTATATATATTTTGTTGCAAGTCGTGAGTGGAATAAACATCTCTCTTGTGTTGATTTTCTTCATTCAGGATGGATCCTGACTGGTTCTTTTTTGTTGCGATGCTGTTGCGATGCTATATTTTTTCCTCTACTTACGTGAATGAGATTTGATAAATCTCACAAAATCGAACATGCCCTATGTTTTTCCTCTACTTAAATGAGATTTTATTCAAAATCAACTTTACTCCAACTTATAGATCATTTTAGCTTTGTTTTAAGCCAAGCCTCTTTTACTTAGACCAAACGTTAAAAAGTATATCAACATCTATAAGTCCTATTTTTGTGGAAGATTTAATTAAGCTAATATGATACCGTATATGCTGGTCTATTTTCATATAAGATTATTGGTTAAAGTTGGAGAAATTTGTTTTTGAAACAATGCTAGAGTGCTCTATGATTCGAAATTTGGAGAAATTTGATTTGAAATAAATCACTTGGTTGAAACAGTAGCAGATGGTCTTTCACTTGCAGCGGGCTGCTGCAGTGCATCCCTGTCCTGTCCTGTCTCCTATCCAGCTATCCTGTCCGATGGCTGCAAGTTCCTCCCCCCCCACCACCCAGCCGGAGCCTCCTCGCCACCCGACCCCTTTTCTCGCCGTCGAGGTCGAGGACGAGGACGAGGAGGCCTCCTCCATCCACATCCACCCCGCCTCGCCTCAGCTGTCTCCGACCGCCCTCTGCCTACTTTTACTCTTACTCCTCCCCGTCGGCGTCGGCGTCGGCGTACAACGGCTGGGCCGACCTCGCCGCGGCGCCCGACACCCCTTTCCCCTTCCCCCTCCCGCTGCAGCCCACGGCGCATGGCCTCCTCGTGCTCCTCCCCGCCGCCGCGCTCGCCCTCTCCCTCTCCCTCGCCCGCCTACCTCCCCTCCCCCTCCTCGCGGCCGCCTTCACCGCTGGATTCGCAGCCAGGCACCTGTCCTCCTCAGCGCAGCCAGAACCCCCCCGCCGCCTCTCCGCCCTCCTCGCCGATCTCGATGCCCAGGCCCGCGCCTTGAGGAACGAGCTGCTCTCCGACGCCCGCCCGGGCCTCCTCGTCCAGGCCGTCGATCGCCTGCGCGATGCCGTCGCCGACGCCGCCAGAGTGGCCGCGCAACAAGGCGACACCGGCCGCACCGTGTCAGATGCGCTCGGACCGCTCTGGGAGGTCGCTGACTATCTCGGTGCCTGGGCTCGCCACGCCGTGCGGGACCTCAGCCTCAGCTCGCCAAGGAAGAAGCCGGCAAAAAGCAACAACACTTCAGATGTTCAAGTCGTGGCCAATCCCAACAACCAGGCTACTGCTGCTGCTGCTCAACAGCAACAAAAAATTGGGAATAATAAGCCCGCGGATTCTACTCTGCAACAAGAGCCTTTTGCATTTGATCCGTCTATAGTCGATAATGCAAATGGGTGGCCGCTTGACATGCTGCAGTTTGACGAGGATGACAATGGATCCAAGGATGCAGGAACCGGTGCTCAGGCCACGACGGGGATGGGGGATGCTCGGTTGGAGAGACTGGTGTCCAAACACAGGCACCGGCGTGACAGTGTGCAGAATGATGGCCCATTTCAAGGTGGTTCTACTAGGTTTTCCGCCGAATCCATGGAGTCATCTTTGCTGGAGAGGACACTTGAAATCCGGGACAGGTCCTACAGGTTCAAGATTGAGCGCCGCGGCGACGGTGGTAGCCAGGTGAGTGAAGCACAAGACAGGACTGATGACCGCTTTGTCGATAATGCTGCTGGTTTGCATCCTTTATATGATGAGGAAAGCGCCTCTGCTGATTCGGATGGCGAGAAGTTCAGCCGAAACGTCAAGGAAGCTGCAGAGATCTTGAGGAAGGCCAGGGAATCCATGATGGCCATGGCTGACGAAGAGACTGCAGATGCACTGCTGTACAAGTCAGCTAGGCTCCTTTCCACAGCTGTAGCTTTGAGGCCAACAAGCCTGGTAGCAGTGGGTCAGTTAGGGAACACGTACCTCCTCCACGGAGAGCTCAAGCTCAAGATTAGTCGCGAGCTGAGGACACTCTTGGCCAACAGCGGTGCTTTTCTGAATGGAAGGGAGCGTGTTTCACGGTCCAGGAAGGTAGATAGGAGAATCTTAAGCAGAGAGAGCATTTCATCTGCTCTTGTCGATGTATGTGAAGAATGTGAAAGCCTCCTTGTTGAGGCTGGCAGAAGCTACAGGATGGCCCTCTCGATTGATTCGGGTGACGTCAAGGCATTGTACAACTGGGGACTGGCACTTATTTTCCGGGCACAATTACTTGCTGACATCGGACCGGTATGAGCTGCAATTTTTTTTGGTCAACTATGATGAATTGGAAGGTCTTGTTTTGTGCTCTAGGAATGCAAACTGCCAATAATCAATATGCACTTAGGCAAAATTTTGTTCGAGAAACAGTGATAATTTGCTAGAAAATCCAATGTTACTCTATGCCTTGCTATTTGTGACGGCTACTTGCAATGTTTCCATGCTGATTGTATTTACTTGAGACATTGATGCAGGAAGCAGCAGTCGACGCTGACCGGGTGTATCTAGCTGCAATTGATAAGTTCGATGCCATGTTGTCGAGAAGCAACACTTATGCTCCAGAAGGTTATGTGACAACAATGCTCTGTTGTTAGCCATGTTTGGTGGTTTTGGTTGGATATATTTGCTGATGCGGAACTGTTATGGCACTGCAGCTCTCTACAGATGGGGCACTGCACTGCAGCAGCGGTCCTATCTGCGGCCTCGGAACAGCAGGGATAAGGTTAGGCTTCTGGAGCAGGCGAAGAGCTTGTTCGAAGATGTGCTATATGTGGAAGCAGACAACAAGATGGTGAGGGAGGCGCTGTCATCGTGCATATCAGAGCTCAACTACCATGGCCGGTGGTTATAGACAGTTGTTTGCTTTGACGGAGCAGCTGCGATTTACAGTTGTTTGATCATGATTGCCGGATGAATCAATATAAGCAGCTAGGATGTGATTTACAGGACAGTAGTTTCCTCTGTCTCTTCTGCTTGTAGCAACTCAAGCGAGGAGAGAAACATAAGCTCAGTTTAGTTAGTCCTACGATACAATGCAATATGACTTTTTGTATGGAATGTGTGGTTGAATCGAATACATAATACAAATGAATAAAATGTGCCTTCAATTTTGAGCTGAAAGATGCGTGCATGATGTGATATGGTTGGTTTCCAGTTAAAAAGCGGGTTACACTACATTAGAACGGTAGAACCTGAAGTGAGATGGCAAGACTTATCGAAAAAAAAAACGATGATGACAAATATGGCAAACATCTTTTCACAAAGGGAAATAATGCAACATCTGTCCCATGCATAGCAAGATGTTTTGATTTCTCTCTTTTCATGTTTGCAACAGGTGGTATTAGTAATAACGACAGCAATTATTAGCAAATTCTTTTAAAAAACTCTAGACAAGTCCTGTATGCAATCTCAGCCTATGTTCACGTTTCCAACTTTTGATTCAGGCTGCATTCGTGAGTCGTGTGACATGCTCCACTCCTTGTCTCAGCAGATGGCGAGCGAATAACCTGTGGATGGGCTACAAGAACCTCTCGACAGTTGTTGCCAGCGTGGTGTCGGTGACAGCCCCGATCACCGTCTCCTTCCTCTCCCCGTTCTTGAAAATCAAGATGGTGGGGATGCTTCTGATGCCGTACCTTATAGCCACTTCCTGGTTCTTGTCAGTGTTGAGCTTGAGGCACCGCAGCCTGCCGGTATATGCTTTCGCCACGTCTGCGATGATAGGGTGCATCATACGGCAAGGGCCGCACCATGGTGCCCAGAACTCGACGAGCACTGGAGACTCGCAGCGAAGGACGAGGTCATCCCAGGTCGACTCTGCTACATCCAGCGCTGTAAAAAGGAAGAATGGTTAGCCATGTCAAGTCTCAGTCATCACAGCAGCCAAACGATTTGCGTTGAATGCAAACTGAATTCGTAGTGGGTGTGACAAATAAAGGCACCATAAGAGAAGCAGGTTGTGGGAACACATGCGGATTCATACACCACAAGGGCACAGGAAGCCATCCCCCCATCTGGACATCACCGAAACAACCAAGACAAGGGCGCAATCACATGATATTCGTGAGAATCTCCCTAACAAGGTTTGTTTACTATGTGATGGGCTACCTGAAAGGTGTGCTAATGCTGCACTATATATACTGAATGCTCAGGAAATGGCAAGAGACACTGCGACCGCGAATGTCATGAAATGCAACCATAGATGTCAAGACTCTGCAGGAACGCACCTGATGTATTGCTTAAGCCGCAGAAAAATACTTTTATTATTTTTATAATGAATGGGAAGAGCAGCAAATTAAAGGAAAATGACCCTGCTGCTGCTGCATGTTAAAATGTAATGTACCTCTAGAACACACACACACGCTCAGTAGAGGAAAAGGAAGAATAAACACAGTTAGTCAGTTTATGAGTAGAGTAGGAAAATGCAGCATTGTAGAGTAAGTAATTCAATTCATAATAAGCAGGCAGCTGCTGATGTAGTAGTAGTCCTTATCACGCCCGCCAAATAGTAATATAGGTATTAGTACCTCATAGTGTCGTGATTGATGATAAACTAAGCACATCAATCTGCAGTAGCCAGTAGGGAAAGGCGTGAACTGAAAAATCGTTTCCCCTCGTTAATTTAATGATCTTACACTCCAAGTAGCCGCGGCGGCGGTCCAATGATCCAGTTCGATTCAATTAGAGTTGAAAGGATGAGATCGGTTTGGTAGGAAAATGAAAATCTGACAGAGGGGATTCATAGGTCTTGAGCCGTTAGCTGTTGCTGCAGCAAGGAGGAGCACAGGATCCGGGGTCTAGAGATAGTTACCGAGTTGGTCGTTGATGGCGGCGGAGGCCTTGCTGTCGCCCTCCTCGGGAGCCTTGGCCTTGCAGCGGAGGGACGCGGAGGCGGCGACGGCGCCTGATAGCTGCGGTGTGGGACGGAAGCGGAAGGAGAGGAAGGAGGCGGCAGTGCGGGAAGGACACGGGCGCCTGGTGCCGAGGGTAGCGGCGGCGATAGTCTCGGTGGCCATGGGAGGCAGAGGGAAGGAAGGTAGCGACCAAGGTTCAAGAAATCCGGTACCAAAACTCCCAAGTACGTATTCCGAGTTGGGAATGGGCGTATTACTAGTAAATTAATATCTGTTAGCTTAAATTATTAAAAAAACTTGGAGTTTGGTCTAGAGGTATGATTCTCGCTTTTGGTGTGAGAGATCGCGAGTTCAATTCTCGCAACGCCCCTTAATGTGTTTTTTACTCTCGTTTTCTTCTTCTAGATTTCAGAATAAAAGACCGTCAAGATCAAATTAAAATTTTTAGGTGGGGATCAAATTAATTTCAGTGTGCATAACTAACATAAACTTAACCTGTTCAGATTTCAGAATAAGACCATCAAGATCAAATTAATTTTACTGTGCATATCTATCTATATATATATACCTAATAATAATAAAGAGACAAAATTTCAAACCATTTTTTTGTCCATCTTTTTTTTTTCCGTCTCCCTCTACCTATCGGATAATGAAGAATTTTCTTCCATCCGGGCTTATTATATATAACCCGTGCTTATACGAGTTAGAATAGCTCTTGTCTAGCGGAGACTTTGGCATTTCACCCATCATCAGAAACGGGTTTCGCAGTTTTACCATCCTTCAAAGTGGTTTCGCTATTTTGCCATTATAAAACTGATGCAATCCGCTGAAATATATTTTGGTTGGTTTTAATTCGTGGGAAAAAAAAGAAGACGCCTCCTTTCATTCCTACCCCTGGCTGTTGTTACTTTCATCAGAACGGATCAAACACAAAACGGATCGGCCCTCTCCTCCATCCCCGCGCTGGCCTTCCCCACGCCGCCCCCCCCCCGTGGCGGCGCTGGCCTTCCCCACGCCGCCCCCCTCCCCTGCCGGCACTGCCCTGCCACCACGCCGCACCAGGTGCCTCGTCCCGCCTCCGCCCGGGCATCCAGGTGTCGCCTCCCGCCTCCTCCTAGCCATCCAAGCGTTGTCGCCTCCCCAGGCCATCCAAGCATCGCCTCCGCCCTAGGCCAACCTCACCTCCACCCTAGGCCGTGGGCCAGGCCTGCGCCTAGGTTGCCGCGCCAGGCCGGCACGTCCCCAGCCGACGCGTCCCCTAAGCTGGGGCGCCGCCCCATAGATTGCAGTTGGAGTGATCTAATTCCTCGGTATGCACACTCTCTCTCTCTTGTATTTGTAGTCCACGAACGTAGTTCGAAACATTGATAGAGTTGTTCGAATAGAAATTTAACTATATTTCTTGCATTCGCTTTATCCAGGCTCGATGTGGAGCCTGAGCTTAGATTAGATTCTGTAGCAGACACTTGTGATGTTGGTCACAATGCAAAGGCTATAGACCATGGATGTGGTGATGTTAGTGGTAATGCATTGGCTATAGAATATTATGGAGGTGTTGAATAGGACAACCTGCAGATTGCTGACACAAATGATGAAGAGGGTGAGGGCAAGCAAGAAATAATTGATGAGGACCAATTATTTCGTCTGTTGGGTTTGAGAACCGAGGATGATGAACATCGATCTCAAGAGCAGCAGGCTTCTACAGAGATGGAAAACAGGCCTGAAAATAGAAATGCCACTATTGAGGAGGAGATTGACACGGCTGGGGCTGTCATTTCTGTTGACGATCATGTGTCAGAGGAGAGAATCTTAGTCTATGACCCAAACAATCCTTGTATGAACATTGGCACTGTGTACCCTAACATGAAAGAATTCAGATTGACTATGAGGCAGTTTGCAATAAATGAGGAGTTCGAGCTACACATAGTGAAATCTGAGCCACAACGGTACATTGGGGATTGCAATGCATAAGGTTGCTCGTGGCATATTGTTGGAAGGAGGCAACCTGATGGGGCAACCATTAAGGTGTTTAACTAGTGGCTAATATTTTTCTACATTTTTTTGTTGCTGATCAATATCTAATTCATTGGTATTTTGCAGGTCACATGTTTGATTTCTCGGCATACATGCTCTTCTAGTGCAAGGAGGAAGACCACCACTCCAACAAGTGGTTGGGTAGCATCAAAGGCTATTCACCACCTTAAGAAGACTCCCAACATGGGCCCTAAAGAATTGCAAAAGAAGCTATAAGAGAAACACAAGTGTGAAATTCACTATGACACAGTGGCGAGGGGAAGGAATATTGCCTTGAGGGAAATATTTGGCAGCTGGGAGGAGAGCTTTCAAATGTTGTTCAGCTGGAGGGCAGAGGTATTGAAGCGGTCATCAGGTAGTGTGATTGAAATTGACTTAAAGGAGGTAGATGGCAATGTTTACTTCCACATTTTTTTGTGCATTAAGTCCTTGCATTGAGGGGTTTTAGAGGGTTGTAGGCCTTATCTGAGCATAGACTCAACTACACTTAATGGTAGGTGGAATGGACATTTGGCTGCAACTGTTGCAATAGATGGTCATAATTGGATGTACCTCTTGCTTTTGGTTTCATAGATGGGGAAACAATAGATAACAGGACATGGTTCATGACTCAGCTACACAAAGCAATAGGAAACCTACCACTACTTGCTATTTGCACTGATGCATGCAAAGGTTTAGAGAAAGCCGTTAGAGATGTCTTCCCTAATGCTGAGCATAGAGAACGCTTTAGGCATCTAATGCAGAATTTCATAAAAAGATTTGGTAGAGATATTTTTTCAAAAATGTATCCTACAGCAAGGACATATAGGCCTAAAGTTTTCCAATATTTCTTCCATGAAATTGTGACAGTTTGTCCTAAAATATTGGAATGGCTTCATAACCACCACAAATTGTTGTGGATGAGAAGTGCTTTCAATCAAGAAATTAAGTGCGACTATGTTACCAACAATCTTGCAGAGTCTTT